AATTAGGGGTAATCCAGGTGGAAGCTTGATTTGGCCAACGCACAACATCTCGAAAAAGAGGCTGGCTCCGATTAAAAGATCCACCCGCTGGGGAGCATAAAACCTTGGGTCAGCTAACTGTATATTTTTGGGTATGTTCCAGCTGCCAATGTCGACGTTGAAGCTAGGCTGTCGCTCTGTTATGTTCGGAGCAATCACCGCGGTAATGTTGGCCGAGTATTCGGAAGTTCGGGACTGAATCGTAATATTGACCGAGTGACCGTCCGTCACAAAACTGGAATCTCCAACTCCAGTTACAGATGCTGAGGATTTTATTTTCTTTACTTGAAGCTGATTTGCGAATCGGGATGTTATTAGATGCAGTTGGGAGCCCGAATCGAGTAGAGCTCGACAGGGAACGAAAACCCCAGAACGGTTTTTTACCAAAATGCTAGCCGTTGCTAAGAGCACAATATCATTACTAAACTCCTGTGCAATAAGAGCAGTCGAAGTGGAAGGCAGTGCAGAGGGTGAAGCAGAGGGAAGTACTTCTTGAAGCTGTGCTCCTTCTTGTGAAGGAAAAGAAGGTGAGTTTCCAAGGTGAAGCAGGGTGTGGTGTTTAGATCCGCATGAACGACAACTACTAGAGTTGCATTGCCGAACTTGATGACCAACCTTAAGACAATTTATGCAAAGACCGAGCCGCTTCGCTTCTTGAAGCCTATTCGCAGGAGACAGGATTTTAAAATTCTGACAATAAGAAATGGAATGCCCTGTATCATTACAGAATATACAAATCCAAGGGTTAGCATTCGAGGCAACAAATGCTGATCTACGCGCATTGGGTATTCTGTTACTTCCCACCTGATTGCCCGGCGCATAGTTTGCCATGGCGAAATCCATAGTCTCCAACGTCCTGCATCGCTGCTCCAAAAATGATGCCATTGACTCCCACGTAGGAATTAAGTTGTCGAAGGCAGGGTCCTCTAAACGCTCTTCCCACTTTGCCTGACTTGCCGGATCCAACCTTTGGAACAGGACTTGGACGATGATGCATCCTGCGATTTGTTCCGTCGTGCCCAGTCCTTTGAGAGCACGAATATGAGCGTTGAATTTATCGGACAGCTCCCGAAGTGTCGAGACGGAACCACTCTGCACCGCCTTTAGTCCCAGGATCTCAGTAATGTGTGCCTGAAAAACCAAACGTCGATTATCAAATCTATTTTTCAGCAAATCTAAAGCAATTGCGTAGTTGCCATCCGAAATTTCCAATGAGCGAATAGTTTCCAACGCTGCGTCCCTCAGACATGATCGTAGATGCTGCAGCTTTTCTACGTTGGTGAGGTCCGGATGACTATCTATGATCGTGGTAAACATAGAATAAAAGTCAGACCAATTTGCATAACCTCCAGCGAATTTTGGAAGCTCAAGTGGGGGCAGCAATGCTGCCCTATGTCGAGGATGACGCTGCTGGGGGCCGAAAATTCCCGGAGTGATGCCGTCAGCAAAGGTTGAATGCGAAAGAAGCTGTGAGGCGCGCTTTGAAATTTCGGATCGAACCGATGACTTCAGAGTTACGAGAATGTCATCAAATTTCTCACTTAAATCACTTTCAATTTCCTTGAAATCCAATTCTTCGAGCTCACCGAGCACCTTTTTAAATGACTCTTGAAGCTCATCGATCAACTCTAACCTCACATGAAGACCGGATTCGTCGCATGAAGTTAACGCCGCACTTGATAGGGAATCCACTAAGCGCTCCACTCTATTAAATAAAGCCGTTGCCTTGCGCTTTAAAAATATTGCCCTGTTTGCATCAGCGGTAACATCTCCAAAAGTTCCCGTAGGCATGGCTACAACAACAACAGCAGACGAAATGCCCGAAATTCGGCTCAAGCGGGAAGATGAGCGCAAAGCAAACGAAGGAATAACAGCCCGTTACTTGGCTATGTACGCTTCTATGTATAGCTGATTTTGCGCCTTATATGTAAATTTCCGCAATCACCAACTGCTATTTATTTTATAGCGCTCACTGCATTTAAGGCCTTATGATTGTTGCTCCGCCAATGCACCGCAGCAGCAAGAATGAAAAAGTCAATAAATAGACTTATATGATTTGCACTTAGTGTTATTTATGCACAAATCACGTCGGGGTCACCAATGTTGAACTAATAAGCTTTTTTATTAGTTGTTGCTAAATTAAAATACGAATTTCAGGTTGCTTTAGGCTTGTTAACAATTTATTAGCGAGAGAGAGTACAGCAGGCGAGACGAGAATGCGTTTTATGTCGAGATCAGAATTCGTACTGATTTACAAAGGGACAGCCAGCCGAAAGCTGGGCCGAAAAATGCAAGTACACAAAAGACGAGAGAGCTAGATAAAGAGAGCTACCTTTCGCGATGCCATTAATATAAGAGATCGAATTAAGAAGTTAGTTGGCTGCTGCGGCTGCGTGACCCGACACTTACGATTATTAAAATTTGTTCTGCAAAATTTCATTGACACAATCACACTAGCAAAAATTGACGTTTTTAATACCAAAATATTAAACAATGATGACATCATGGAAATATTAAAACATGAACTAAAACCAGTTGTTATTGCTGACTTAATGGACATCTCTGTTTTTAAAATCGCACTGCATAATGAAGTTTTAAAAATTTTTATAAATTACCCAATAATAAAAAACATATTCGAAATATATCACGCTATAGCTATTTCCCAAATCGATGGAAAACTAGTATTAAGCAATCAAGTCGCAAAATGCGCAAATATTTTTTTATGAAATGTCTAACTTTAAGAACAAACTTTTTAATAATTATTGCACTTTAAGTAATGAAAAACTTGTTTTACCCGCTTATTAAATGGTGAGAAAACCACTTGTAAAAAAATAGAATAAAAAAATAGACATCATACAAGATGGTGCCATTCTTATAAATGGTAACAATATTGTTAACAACTCCCATTTAAACGGTTCATTTTTGATAACATTTAATGGTACAACCGATATTAATAATATTTCATATACCAATTTGGAAAACAAAATTCTTAACTACTTAACAACGAATCACTTCAAAAATTATGAAATATCCGATTACATGTTATCAAACAATTTAGAACTTTCTTTACATAATATAAACATTTTAAATCCTTTCATTAAAATTAATAATACTAAAATATCACTTACCTTTGTACTCTTAATTTTAATCATTATATATTTGATTTTTTTACTTATTATAAAATACAAAAAATCTTTAATATTTGTACCCAAAAAACATCGGCCAGAACCAGAAAAATCTTTTAACCAAGAACATTTTTAACATAATTAAGAGATCAATTAAATGAATTTCATATTGAATCGGGACAATCCATTTTATGGATATGGAATTTATAAAAAAAATCCCGAATTCAACCACAGCGACATTGCCTTTGCCTTTGTTTAAGATTCTGCCTTTGCCTTTTCCATTTACTTCGAGGGCCGCGCTTGACCGTCCTGCTAAGATAAATAAACCAATCGTAAAGTAGACACAAACTTCCGTTCGAAGCCCAAACTCTTTCGGTCGAAGCCCACAGTATTGCGTTCTAAGTTCAAATCATATTGCGTTCCGATTTTCAATCAATTTGCATCGGTCAGCATAGTTTCATTTCACAACGAGATGGGACAGTTTCAGCATAAGCTTTTATTCTAAACAAAAATAAAAGTTCTGGAAGCTTAAGAAAGAAAAGCTTCTGGCCGAGTTTCATTGGATAAAGTTTTAGAATTAAGAGGCAGTCCTATTTTGTCCGAGACCGCGATCGGTTCGAAAGTTATAAATAAGTGTCTTGTATAAGTGATAAAAAATAGAAGGTTTAACACCAAGATTGATTAAATAATAAAATTTATTTTTTTAAATATATTACCAGTGACAAATTTAATTTGTATGCCGACGACGTCCAACTATATGTAAGCTGTCCTGTTAGCCAAATTAATGAATGTGTTCGTGTCTGTAACAGTGAATTAGACATGGTTTGCAAATGGGCAGAGAGAAATAGATTATCCTTAAGCCCCCTCAAAACAAAGTGCATAGTAATACATTACCGATATTTTTACACAGATCATCTGGAAAATCTTTGCTTAAATGGTCAACAATTAAGCTATGTAGACCGAGCGAGTAACTTGGGGTTTACAATAAATTCCACTCTATCATGGAAAAACCACAATACGATTGGAAAAATGTATAGGATACTTAGACAACTTATCAATAAATTTTAAAATACGTATTGCGAAGACTAAGCTGATACCACTGCTATTCAATGGAGTCGAAGTCTTTGAAAATTTTGAGGCTACTAGCCAGCACACACTCCTTGTAGCCTTTAACAATGTAGCGAGATATATACTTGATCGCAAGGGCACAGATCGAATCTTTGATGCAACTTTTTAAATATTTGATATGCCGCTAAAAGTCTGGATCGAGTACAAAACTCTAGTACTAAATAATAACAACTGTCGAGCCAAAAAACCCTTTTAGCAAACTAAAATTCAGCGCTTCAAACAGAACAAAAAATCTAATTTGTCATAAAGTAAAACATGCCTATGTTGAGAAACACTTTATTATCTGTGCTGTACGTTCTTGGAATAAACTACCACATCCACTAAAATCAATTAAATCTGTCACGCAATCCCAGTCGTAAATGACAGCATTCCAGCATGCGTTCTTTCATTATGAAATGGCATCAAAAAGGTGTTCCGGAAGTGATGAGTCTGTCCATTCTTTTTATACGGGTGCGGGACAAAAAAGAATGCACCCGTTCAATGCTTTTGGAAGCATATATCTGGAATGCACCTGGAAGCCACAAACTAAACACATTCTGGGTGTACTCTTTTTTAATGCACCTGGGAGCAACATACTAAACTCCTTCTGGGTGTACTCTTTTTTAATGCACCTGTAACATGTACCCAGGAATGCACCTAGAAGCATTCAAAAACCAAATATCTGGAAGTTTTCCCCAGGAATACATAAAACTGGATTTTAATTTCAAATTTATTTTCATTTCAATATTCAAAAACGCAACTAATTTTTAATCGGAGTAACTCCCCTTCTGTACGGTGCTTTGGTGCTTCCTTCTTGTTTATGTTCTTTTGTCATTTACGCAGTTCAGTCCTTGGTGTGCCCATTCATTTTTTGCGATTCTGAAAAATATAAAGCAAATTGAATATTATATATTTTGAAATATGTGTATATACATTACAAATATACAATATGTGTATTTTGTATGTACAATTTACATACAAATAGTTATTATTTTATTTGTTTAATATGTTTCTAGTTTGAATGTTCAGTGTACATGTACTGTGTGTTCATATTGAACTAAATTATCTACACTTTACTTACCTGTGAAAATATTGATGTAAAATTGGTGGCAGAAAGCAACAAACTTTTTCAAAACATGTGGCACGAACTTCACTTTTCAGAACTAAAAATGCTACTGACGAGAAATGCAAGAGACAAAAAAACCGCTCGCTTCCTTGTATGTTCCCTTTTGTCTTTATTATTTGTTTGTCAAGAGAACAGTTTTGAAAAAATACGATTGTAAAAAAATGCGCATCGGCAACCTTCGGGTTTGAGTTTGGTTTTTTTACATTCCCACTAAAATGCACCTGGATGCACTAGATGGCACCCAAAAGACTGCCCCCAGCACGCACATTTTCCTTGGTAAATTTTCATGCGAATTATGATTCTCACTAGTGAATTGATTAAAAAAATTTATTTTTATTTTTAACAATCACTTATTCACTATTACAATTTTACAATAGGTCGAACTTATTTAATTCACTGCTCTTGTATTTATTCTCGAATTATTGTTCTGCTCGATTCGGATCTCAAAAACGGACTGCCTGCTCTCTAGTTCAATGATCAATAATCAAACCTCGGCTTAAGAGATTCTATCCCCAAAAATTGATAAAGAGAATGACTCAAGAGAGTCGGAAAATAGGATGATGCAATTTGCCAATTAAATTCAAAGTCCAATTGTTTAATTTGAATAAATGGATTTAGTATGTTAATATTATCAAATGAGAGTTCCGAATCATTAGATATAATATATTCGGATATTAAAAAATCTGTATATTTTCGAGCTGTGATGTATTCCAATATCTAATTGTCTACATTGGTGTAGGAAATATTATTAATTATAGAGGTGCCATTAAAAGTAATTAAATATGACCCATTTAAATGAGTGTCATTAACTGTATTTTCTCCATTTACAAAAATGGATCCATCTTGGATTACATCTACTTTTTTATTTTTTTCTCTGATTTTGTTACAACAAGATTTTTCTCCATTTAGTAATCTGGTGAAACAAGAACCTTCTGGGTTAAGTGTGCAATAATTGTTAAATATTTCTGTCTTAAAATTAGACATTACATAGTACTTATTTCTACATTTTGCGACGTGATTATCAATTAATAATTTTCCATCATCATGTGAAATGGATCTTGAATTGTAAACGTCACAGCGATCGGTAATAATAGGGTATTTTATGTAAATTATAATAAGATCTTGATGCAAAGCGATTTTAAATTCAGATATATCTAAAAGGTCTGTTATAACTACAGGTCTATTTTCGTGTTTATAAATTTCTTGTATATCGTCGTTGTTTAGAATTTTAGTATTAAATACATCGATTTTGGCGAGTGTAATTGTGTCCATTAAATTCATAAGATCGTAAGTAAGCAAACGCAGACGATTTTTTCTAAGCGGAATTTCTTGATCTTTAAAGGCTGTTTTGAATTCTTCAGATAAAGATTTTATCTCTTTAAATATTTTAGAATTAATAACGAATTGATCGTTATTATTTTGTATTAAATCATCGATTTTATTTTGGACAGTTATGAAATCATCATGATCTGGTGTTCCCGCTATCCATTTCCAAATAGTGCCTAATTCATTAATGCCTTTTTTCGATCTACTGGGTATAATTTGGGAGATAAGTATTTGGATAATTTTTAAATCGTGGGATATTTCCCAAAGAAAATTGTTGCTGTCGTGACTCTTCAGAAATTCTGTTTCAAGATTAATTATATCTCTATAAAGACTTATATTAGTTATATGAAATAAATCTGCGTATGATTCATAAATAAGAACATCTTTGGTATCCTTGTAAAGAAGGAAATCATGGTTCGTGTAATCCATAATTTCGGATTTGGTTGTAGCTACCAGCAGTAATAAGTACATTATTGAAATCATTATCTGTAATTTGAAACAAATTATTTTATATTATCTTTATGAATCGTACGGTTTCTGTTATTTATAATAACTTTATTAGGGAGATTTTCCCTAACTACTTGTTTTTTGTGTCTAGAATTTAGCTTGTTTCTTTCCCCATATTTCTTTTCGTAAATTACCTCTCCTACGTGATAATTCTTATTTTGTCTATCTTTATTGTGGAAATGCAACATTTTCTCTTGAGCTTGTTGCAATAATTTAGGCATATCTTCGTGTTTGATTTTATTAAATAGTATGTCAAAAGGTCGTTGGTTGGTTATTGAGTGAATTGTTAAATTATATTTTTGTGCTGCTTTAATAATGATTTCGGAATAATCAACTAAATTAAGCTCATCTTTAACGCAGCGAGCAATTTCTGTTAAAGTAGAGTGTGCCCTTTCTATTTGTCCGTTGGACGTACTATGTCGAGGATCTGCAAAGAATAGAGATATCCCATTTCTTTGAGCAAAGGATTTGAATTGGGATGAAGAGAAACTTGGTTCGTTATCTATCATCAAAGATTTGGCTAATGGAAATTGTTGTAAAATTTCTGAAACTTTATTTTCTATATTTAGTTTGTTAGGGATTTCTTTTACGACCAAATATTTCGAATAGGAATCTATACAAGTAATGAATATAAGATTTTGGGCGTAATATATGTCAAGATGCAAATTTTCACCTTCTCTTTCTGGAATAGGCGCTTGACCGATAGGAATCTGTACTCGGTGTCTGTTGTATTTGTTTTGATTGCAGATTGTGCAATTCTTTATAAATTCCTTAAGCTTTTTGTATAAATTATAATTTTCATCAAGCCCTCTATGAGCTCTACAATGAGTTTCTGTGATAATCACGGATCTGTCTTCAGCGTCTTCGACATCCTGGACAAATGTCTTAGTGTATAAAAATGTATTTATAAAATTGTCTTTAAGTGGTTTTTGAATTCTATAAAAATCTTCTAGAGTACAGTTAACTCCTATTGTTATATTGGGTGGAATATATTCTCTTAATATTGATATTAAATTTTCTGGAGTATCATACTCTATTATATGTCTAGTATTTCCGAATACATTAATCGACTCATGTATTGTATACCTCCCCGTTGCTATTAGCAATTGTTGCTTAAACTGGTTTAAGGGTTTTCGGGTTTCTTGTATAACATTCTCAAAACTACTCTCTGCTGAATGCGGAGTATTTTGATCTGAGACCGATTCATTGCTTTCAAATAATTATTAATTTGTATCCTTGATAAAGCGTTCGCAACAACATTTGTTGCTCCTGGCTTATAAATTATTTTGGGTGAATAGCTTTCAATAAAAGAATACCATCTTTTCATTTCGGTATTTGGATTTTTTTGAGAAATGGAAAATGAAAGAGGTTGGTGATCGGTATAGATATCGATGTTGTTAACCCCATATACGTAATTACGAAGGTTCTTAAAAGCCCATACTATGGCTAAAAGTTCCTTTTTATTTGTCGCGTATAATTGTTCAGTTTTGGTTAGAGTTTTTGAAATAAATGTGATTGGTTTTCCTTCCTGAGAAAGAACCGCACCAATTGCTAAGTGAGACGCGTCAGTTGTTAGGGTAAATTTTTTATTATAGTCCGGTTGTACTAGTTCTACTTGTGCAATTAAATTTTCTTTGAGCTCGTTAAAAGCTCTTACAGCTGAATCATCAAACTGTATTAAAGTTTTACGTGATGCTTTTTTAGATACTTTGCCGTTTTGGCCTTCTAAATATTTTGTTAAAGGTTTAGCTATCTTTGCGTAATTTTGCACAAATTTTCTGTAATATCCTGTAAGGCCTAGGAAGCTTCTAAGCTCTCGAATATTTTTAGGGATCGGGTATTTTACAATTGTTGAAATTTTTTCGGGATCGGTTTTGATCACATTGTGAGAAACAACGTAACCGAGAAAGTTTGTTTCTAATTTAAAGAACTTTGATTTTTCAATCGAAATTTTCATGTTCGCGTTCAGAAAAATTTTAATAATGACAATTAGGTCTTTGTAATGTTGCTCAATTGTTTTTGAAAATATGGTTATGTCATCCATATAAACATGACATGTTTTACCCACTTGTTCTCTCAAAATATCGTCCATCGCTCGTTGGAATATTCTAGGAGCGTTTGTCAAACCGAAAGGCATTCTTAGGAATTCGTATTTCCCATTATTTATTAAAAATAAGGTTTTTTGTATGTCAGGTTCGTTCATGAGAATCTGATGAAATCCAGATTCCAAGTCAATTGTTGAAAAGTATTTGGCTTTTCCGAGATTTGATAAAATCACTGAAGGGTCCTGCATTGGATACCTATCAGGTATAGTATTTTCATTTAGTTTTTTATAGTCAATTACGAGTCTTAGTTTTGGAGTTCCATCTTCATTGAAACCCTTTTTTGGTACCACTAGTACAGGGGAATTCCAAGGACTTCTACTTGGCCTTATAATTTCTTCTTTTAGCATTCGACTTATTTCAGAATTTTCAAAATCTGAAGCTGATAGAGCATAAGGGTATTGTTGTGGTATACGTTGTAAACGACGCTCTATTTGCCAAAATCGTTGCTTGGCAATATCCACTGAACTTCCCAATTGTTGGGTAGATTTCGAAAAGGGAAGCCGAACTTGAACTCGCCCATTCTCGAGAAAAGCAGAGTTTTTGCAGAAGTGGCGATCACATTCTTCCTCTTCAGTTGTGTATTGGTTTTGAGATGATTCTGGAAATGATTCGATTTCCCAAAACCTTTTTAGATTTTCATTCAGCTGTTCGGACTGCGAGATTTTGCACATAAGAACATTAGCCTTCGCCCTAGATTGCGGATTGTCAACAACTTGTCCACCAATAATCCATCCGAGTGTAGTGTTAAGTAGGCATGGCAGCCCAGGCCCCAGTGATAATTTTCCGCCAGTGAGCAATTCAAAGAATTCCTGGGTGCTTAGTAAAATGTCAATTTTTTGTGGTTTAAAAAACAATGGGTCAGCCAAATCTATTCCGTCAGGGATTGACCACGTTGATGATTCTATTCGAGTGGCGGGTTGAGTCAATGCTATTGTTTTGGTAACAGCAAATTGCAATGACCATTCGTCAGCAGACAAACGTGAGCGTATGGTCGTCGAGACTGAGAACTGAAGTTTTGCTCTAACATCTCCTATACCAGAAACTTCAAAATGTTGACGCTTTCGCTGAAGTT